GCCCCTCTGCCACCCAACCTTAGAACTGTCTGCCCTCTGTTACTATCCCTAGGGATCAGGATGCCTAGACAAAAGAAGCCTTTCTAATATATACCTCGAATCCCTCCCAGGACCACGTCTAGGAGGCAGGTGTCCCGTGCCACTCACCTTGCTGCGGTACCAGGACTCAGCCTCAGCACGGCTGCGGCTGGCGATGTCATCGTACTGAGCCTTGATCTCAGCAATGATGCAGTCCATGTTCAGGTCCCGGCTGTTGTCCATCTTGACGACGACCGAGGTGTCTGAGATGTGAGAATGGAGGACACGGATCTCCTGCAGATCAAGGGTGGTTGGTAGGTGGAAGGATCTAATTTATGCCACAGCCTCATCCACCATAACATATACCCGATTTTCTCAGCCCTTCCTGGTCTCCACCCTCACGGACCGCAGCCCCCTGCCCAAATCTCTGTCTATCTCCAGTCCCTGGCCAAAGCCCTCTTTTCCAGGCCAGCTGTCGGTTTTATGCCTGGACCCTGACCCTCACCTCCTCATACAGTCGCCGTAGGAAGTCGATCTCCTGGGTCAGGGCCTCCACGTTGGCCTCCAAGTCCGACTTGCGGAGGTAGGCGCAGTCTACATCCTGGAAAGGTGAGAGTCTTTGAGCTCAGAGGACCCCTGGTGGCTGTCAGCCCAAACTCTCCTCTCTTCTCACCCATTCGTGGAGGCCACAGGGAAAGGACACCAGTGTCCTAGTCCCATTCCATCCCATACCTTCTGACCATCGCGGGATAGGCCTCACAACCTCCTCGCCTTCTGAGAACAAGCCCCTTTGAGCCTTGGAGAAGGGCCACCAGCTTTTCCCTCCTCCCACCTGAGATGGCTTACCCTCCCATTTCTCATTTTATCCTCCCCTATTCCAGGAAGCCTGCCCAGACTGACACCTGCTCAGCCACCTTGACCCCTCCCTGTCCCCCAGCACTACCCAAGACTCTACCTGCCTACTTCTGGTTCTGCTCCATTCTCCCCCATGCCTTGGGTCTCTGCCCCTCCTTTTGGTCAGACATCCCATAGTGCTAGACAGGACAGTGTCCCTTGGCATAGACTAAAGCTGCCAAGCCTCCGTGGGACCCAAGCCACAGGCCACAACCTCTGAAGTATAAAGCAGGACATCCAGAGGTCAACCCCGCCATCTCCCTGCCCCAGGGCAGGGTGTTAGTGGACAATCCAAGGTTATTGTCCTTTGTCAAAGCCCTAGAGGCACCTTTCCTGACCTGACCTCTGGGAAGTCCCCACCCTGATATGGCAAGGTCCTGCACCCCACGCTGAGGTTGACACCCTCTGGGTCTCTCTAAGAAGAGTCTGTCTGTCATTCTGAGATTCCTGATGTCTGTGCTCCCCGATCCCATGTTACTCACCTTCTTCAGAGCCACAAACTCATTCTCGGCTGTTGCTCTCAGAGAAACTTCCTCCTCATACCTGAGGCAGAAGAGGACAGAGATGGAGGTCACAGGAGGGCAGATCTCCCCAGAAGCCCCTCCACTTCATACCAGTGAAGTGGGCAATATTAGGAACCTCCCAACACAGCCAGACCCCTGGCAGCCCTGTTCGGACCTTTTGGTCGGATTTGAAATAAGTCTGTGATGTTCTCTCCATTTCGAATTGCGGGGTTCAGGGAGCTGACCTTCTGGGACCTCACAGCCCTGTGTCCCAAAGTTACTCTGACATCACCTCAAGAGGCAAATAAGGTCTCGGCACCCAGCTAGGAGTGCACGGCATCCCTCTGGGGCACTACAGCCCAGCATCCCCTCACCCGGGTGTCCATCCTGGCTCAGCTGTGGGGACCTGTGAGTTTCAGAGGCCATCAGCACTCAGCACCCTAGGCAGCAGGTCACCCAGAGCCCCAGGACCTGTCAGCCCTGAGCGACACCTGGACTCATATCTCATCTATGTGCTATAGGTGGGAGCCTGAGGGGTCAGCAGGAGAAGGCCTGGAAAACAGCAGAAGCCTCCTCCCCACAGAGCACGGGAGACAGCTGCTGGGTGATCAGACTCCGAGAAGAGAAGGCTGAAGTAAGAGAGGTATCTCTTGGGAGCATCACGGCCCTACCCTTAGGCGGGCATCTGGGCAACAATTGCACAGGTGAAAAGATCGTGCTGCTACACACTGCCAACCTGGCCTGCAGGGCTGCTCCCTTCACTTGGAAGTTCTTCTCATGTCTAATCCAATGGCCTTTAACTTAAGTCATTTCCTGTGCCCGTCGTCACTCCTGGCTACACTCACTTCTTCTTGTAGCCCTCCATCACCTCCTGCACGTGGTTGAGCTCTGAGGCCAGCCTCCCGCTGTCGGCCTCCGCGCACTCGGCCTCCCGCCTCAGCGTCTCGATGTAGCCCTCGAACAGGGGCTCCAGGTTGCTCTCACAGCACTTGCGGTTCTGGTAGAACTGCCACTTGGTCTCCAGCAGCTTGTTCTGCTGCTCCAGGAAGCGC